AATACAGAGAATACGCAAAGGAACCAAAAATGAGGATTACTTACTCTGTGAAGGAGGCACACTATTTTGCTTGGTATTTGACTTGGATTTATCTGTCTCTTGTAGCATCGGTGGCACTTGGGAAGAGCTCTTCTCAGAATCACTTTTTGATAAGATAACAGATGGCTCGGTAGAAACAGCAGGTGGAAGAGTCTTGACAGGCTATTTTGGAATAAAATTATCTCAGATTTCTGGTAAAATTTTTGAGCAAAATTAAATATCTTAATAATATCAAAGGGCTGTTTAGCTCCCAGTAAATAACTAAGATGGTTTCCAAGTAATTTATCAGAAGCAATGTAACTCATGCCTGCCCTCTAGTGACACAACCAAATAAATCACCTACAATATGACTGTAAGTTGAAATAAAAACAAAGGTAAAAGGCCAAGGATGGTGGATTGTTTGAGCTCACGAGTTGGAGATAAGCCTGAGCAAGAGGGAAACTCCATCTCTGAAAAAAAGCTGGGTTGTGGCAGGCACCTATTGTCCCAGCTACTCAGGAGGCTTAGGCAAAAGGATCTCTTGAGCCTAAGAGTTTGAGGTTGCTATGAGCTGTGACACCACAGCACTCTACTAAGGGCGTCAAAGACTCTTGTCTCAAAAAAAAAAAGGTATGTAATTATGGATTTCCAGTAGAAGTCAACAATTCCACTTTGATTAACTTTATGTCTGCAATTCAATGATTCTACCAATTTCCCATCAACTCTGAACTCTTCAGGACTGAAAGGTGCAATCAGCAGCATCCAGAGATGAGGCTGGAACTGAGATGTTCAGCCCAGGTTTATTGAAAGGGGAGGGTGGGCTCAGCGCCTGTGGCTTAAGTGGCTAAGGTGGCAGGTTCGAATCCAGCCCGGCCCCGCCAAACAACAATGCCTCCTGCAACCAAAAAACAGCCAGGTGTTGTGGTGGGCGCCTGTGGTCCCAGCTACTTGGGAGGCTGAGGCAGGACACTCGCTTGAGCCCAGGAGTTGGAGGTTGCTGTGAGCTTTGATGCCACGGCACTCTACCCAGGGGGATAGCTTGAGGCTCTGTCTCAAAAAAAAAGAAAGAAAGAGGAGAGTGACCTGCTGGGCAGTTTAAAGGCAGTATCTATACCCTCTTGCAGTTATAGACCCATTTTATGTGGGGCCTAGGGGATGGGCAAATTTCACAGCTTGCCTAGAGTGCTTTGGCATGTTATGGTCCTTTGGCTCAAATTTCCCTGGGGTGGGGCTAATTAGTCCTTTGTCTTAGGAGGAGAGGAGGGGCAAGGAAAGGGAGAGGAGGCCTGTAGTCCCAGCTGCTTGGGAGGCTGAGGCAAGAGAACTGCTTGAGCCCAGAAGTTTGAGGTTACTATGAGCTATAACGCCATGGCACTCTACCCAGGGTGACAAAAAAAAAGAGAGAGAGAGAGAGGAGGGGTTAGGGGAAGGGTTCATGTGTTACTTCTTTAGCACACCTCCCCAAGAACTTTTTGTGAAAGACAAAAAGAAAATTGCTAATTTCTGAACCACCACTAGAACATCCCCTTATCTCCTTTCAAACAGTAGATATCTCAAGTAGCAGCAGCAACAGCTTCCATTTCCTAAAAGCAGACTCCAGTTATCAGTAACACTTGGGTCTCAATGTTTAGGGTTTGATCCAGTCAGGTAGTATAATTAAGAATGCTTAGCATAGGGTTGGGAGCAGAAAGGAGATAAACTAACTGAATTGCCTGAGGCATATCTGTTAATAAATGGTCAGGTCCTGGTAATGATAAAAATGCCAGGGTGGTGCCTGTGGCTCAGTGGGTAAGGCACCAGCCCCATATACTGAGGGTGGCAGATTAGAACCCGGCCCCTGCCAAACTGCAACAAAAAAATAGCTGGGTGGTGTGGTGGGCGCCTGTAGTCCCAGCTACTTGGGAGGCTGAGGCAAGAGAATCGCCTAAGTCCAGGAGTTGGAGATTGCTGTGAGCTGTGATGTCATAGCACTCTACTGAGGGTGACATAGGCAGACTCTGTCTCAAAAAAAAAAAAAAAAAAAAAAAAAGAGGAAGGGCGGCACCTATAGCTCAAAGGGGTAGGGCACTGGTCCCATATGCCAGAGGTGGCAGGTATTTGAAACTGTATTTTTGCTATTTGCTTTATCTTAATGTTTCCTGTATTTATTACATGATCAAAAGGTTTATCGTTTAATTGCCTTTCCCCCTTATTCTTATTTATCTGCATTTAATCATAGAAGGGCTCAAATATTCTTTACAGATGGCTTCTGTAAATGATTTAAGTAAAACACCAAAATGTCAAATGAAGCTGGGCATGGTGGATTGCTTGAGCTCAAAACTTTGAGACCTAAGCAGCCTGAATAAGAAAGAGCGAGACCCTGTCTCTACTAAAAACAGAAAAGCTAGGCAGGCAAGCTAGCCTGGCATCTGTCTGTAGGCCCAGCTACTCAGGAGGCTGAGGTAAAAGGATCACTTGAGCCCAGGACTTTGAGGTTGCTGTGAGCTGTGATGATGCCACTATTAACTCTGCCTCAAAAAACAAAAACAAAAACAAAAACCAGTCAAATGACCTTTTGCTATTTATTATTAAACCTATTCATATATTGAGATTAAATCTTTTTATCTCAAAATACTCACAGGGAATTATAAGCATTAAGTCCAAATAAAAAGTATGATTAAAAACTCTGGTTTAGTATAAGACTTTTTTTGAAACAGAGTTTCACTTTTTCACCCTCTGTAGAGTGCCGTTCTGTCATAGCTCACAGCAACCTGGAGTTGCTGGACTTAAGCAATCCTCTTGTCTTAGCCTCCTAAGTAGCTGAGACTACAGCTGCTTGCCACAACACCTGCTATTTTCCACCTGCCTTGGCCTCCCAGGGAGCTAGGATTATAGGCATGAGCCACTGAGCCTGGCCTTAGTACAAGACTCTTACAAATTCCTAGTGGTAACCTAGTTTCTTGTTTAAAGCTGTTTGACTAAATTTGTAAGCTCTACCAAGGCAGGGATTTGTCTTTTGTTCTCTGCTGCATCCCAGCAATTCAAATAGCATGTGGCACACAGTAGGGTTCTCAATAATTTTTTTTTTTGGTTGAGTAAATAAATGAACTATGCACCTCTAGCAAAATTTTTCTTTTCTTCTTTTTTTGGAGACAAGAGTCTTAAGCTGTTGCCCTCAGTAGAGTGCTGTGGTATAGCTCACAGCAACCTCTAACTCTTGGGCTCAAGTGATCCTCTTGCCTCAGTTTTTCTATTTTTTAGTAGAGACAGGGTCTTGCTTTTGTTTAGTCTAGTCTCAAACGCCTGAGCTCAAGCAATCCACCTGCCTTGGCCTCCCAGAGTGCTGGGATTAAAAGGCATAAGCCACTGTGCCTGGCCCCTTAGAAAAGAGATTTGTATCACTGGCCTAGATTTTTTATGCAATGGTCCCTTCGGCCACATAAATGTTTTCCGTAGGCTTGGTGCCTGTGGCTCAAGTGGCTAAGGTGCCAGCCACATACACCTAAGGTGGCGGGTTCGAACCTGAGGTGCTCGGGTCCGCCAAACAACAATGATGGTTGCAACCAAAAAATAGCCAGGCGTTGTGGCGGGTGCCTGTGGTCCCAGCTACTTGGGAGGCTGAGGCAGGAGACTCGCTTGAGCTCAGGAATTGGAGGTTGCCGTGAGCTTT